TCTCCTCCCCGAGACCCCTCTGCAAGGGGATCTCCAGTGGCCTACTAATGGGCTTTGGATCTCCACTCCACACTCCCACCATCATTCACTACACCATGGTTATCTTTTTAAAAAAGGTTATATCCTTCCAAATTTTTAAAAAATACTTTCAACTTTCAAAGTGGTTTATGAATCTCTAATGGTCACTTTTGAACAATTTCGCTAGGGTGGAAAAAAAATTGGAAGCCAGATAGGAAAAATTGCTAAAGTACAGGCAAGAATCATAGATTTATCCTTCTCTGAAGAAAAAAACGGGCCCATTTCTTTCCTGTCTACGGCATGTATGGCCTCTGTGGTTTCGTTTTTTCCATCCCTACTTTTAGGTGAGCCAATTTGACTTTGGGGATTTTTTCCTAACGTGGTCAGATGTTGGCCAGTCTTCGCATTATTGTAAAGAGCCGGCTTGTTTTACACAAGTCTCTTTGTACGTAAGAATCACTGGAGGGGGAGGAAAGGGTGTAGAGAATAAGCCCTTCCGGCAAGCACACAATGATGGATCACGTTCGTGTCACCCATGAGCAGAAGAGAGAAAGGGACTGTAGGGTGTCATTATGTCTCTGATTCATTGATTTTGAGGAAGTGTTTCATGGCGTTGAATAGCCAGGGTGCCGTTCTCACCATGGCAATAGCGGAAGCTCCCCCGCCTTTTATGCGAAAGGAGCCCCGGGGACGAGTGTCCTCCAGTGCTGAGAAGCTCCGAGTCCAAATCCACTCCCTCGCAATGGCTTTCGCGTTAACAGTCTAGGGGAGAAACTGCAGTGTGCTTTTTCTTGCCAGTGTGTTGCTGTGATTCTATTAACAGCAGAATGTTTATTTTGAAGCCAAAAGGGGAAAATGGAAAATTACAGGCTTTGGTATATTTCTGGTTCGGAGAAACTTGTATAGAAAAGTAAAGTTAGAGAACGGCAAAGGCAAGCTATAAATTCACTCTGAGAAAACGAGTAATGGCCACATGGTGAAACACCTTTTCAGCTGAGAATTTGGGAAGAAGAGGCTAAGTGGAAAAAGAGAAAGGAGCGCTCTTTAAAAGTGTTTTCCACCTTCAGATTCACTGGGCTCCATACTGAAGGGGAGCTCAGAGTTGGCGGCCAGTCGATGGGGCATGGCGTCTTTAATGATAATGTGGCAATGACATGTCTGAGGATATATGAAGAAGAGCTCATTGAAAACCAGAAAGGATTTGTGTTCAACAGCTTTTTAGATTGGCGGTATACATACTTTAAAGAAATTAGGAGGGGGAACCAAGTATAAAATGCCTTCGACTTGTCATCACCCAGCAATCTAAGGAGCGGAGCCCGTGGTTCTCCTATAATTGTGGAAAGATTCCCCCCCCCACCCCCCTTCAGTCTGGGCATCTATAAAAAATTGTCAATTGCTAGTCTGCCCCCATGCTAGGGATTTCTACAGCCTGCCTCACAAGTTCTTTAAAAAAAACTCAAATAACAAAAAACATAGTGTTTCCTTGTTGAACTTCTGTTTCCCCACATCCCAGACCTCTCCTGGTTGACACTGCGTATGCCCCACTGCCTCAAATACTCTAGAACCCCCTTTTTGACCCTGACATCTTTCTTCCATTTGAAGTGTCTTCCTCACTGTTATTCCACTAGAACTTCTAATCTATCAATGGCGGCTCTAATCCCCCCCGCATTTCTGGGCCTCTGTCCCCATAATTGTCATGAAACAATGTGTCTTGGACCATTTCCCAAGATCTCTTCGTGTCTATGGGGTGTATGTGCCAGCATGTAGAATACTGACTGGGATATAGTGTGTACTTTCACAGTGTTTTTAAACTTAAGTGATGGTCTAAGGTCCTTGGACGTTAAAAAGTAGTGCTGTTCTACATTAGTAAGTAGACATGCTCCAATGTGGAACCTGCTCCTTGGCCCATACCCTCCGTCTAGCTCTTACACACGCCTGCAGGTGGGGTTTCCCTTGCTCGCAACCTCCCGCCAAATAAGTTTGCATTTTTTTATTTACCTCCTGTCAAAAACTACAATTTTGGCATCTTCAAGGGACTCAGATTGTATTCCGTGGAAACTGATAAAAGAATGAGTGTTTTCCAGGTGCTGGGGGAGGGACTAAAAGTGAACGAATGGACTGGCTCTAATGGGCATGATGTTTTTTGGTGGGGGGCATTAGTATAAATGTTAAGGAGTTAGATGGTGACATTGATTACTGAATCCTGGAATATCCTGAGAACCACTGAGTTGTGCCCTGTAAAATGGTAAATCTGATGATGTGTGAATTGTATTTCACTGGAAAAGTTACACACAGAGGAAAAACAGTACCAGTTCTGAATCAGCAAACAATATTTATTGTTGGAACAGCTGGGGAGGATAATGCAGTCCACCTTGGGCCTGGTGGCGGCATTAAAACCTGCTGAGTATGGTATGGCGGTGCTAAATTACTGACTTCTGTCTCCCAGTTTTCACAGTTGTCACATTTTACCCACAAAGAAGTTGCTGTGCCTCTTCAGGCCAGAACTGCAAGTCAGGTCTCATTTACTCTGACCTAATTCCCGCTTTGCTGTAATTTCTCAGGCAGTGGCCCAAGCACACCTGTCTTGATGGGTGCATTTGCATTCCTTTAAGACAGTTTCCCCATAAATGTGCTTACCCATCTGTGCCTCTCGAATAGCAGAATTCCCAATTGCTTATAGGATGACCCATTTTAAAAGAAAGTATAAGTCAGTTGATGGAGACCGGTGAGTAGGGGAAGATTGAACAGTAGTAACTCAGCTGAGACGGGAGAGTAAGCTGGATTGTGGTAAATTCATTACATAATTAAGTAGCTGAGGGCTTTCACGTGAAATTGATAAAATGGAGCAAATAAACGTGATAGAGCAGAAATGCCAGTGACATAATCTTACAGTCGGACCAAGAACCTAACCATCAGCTCGAGCGAGGCATGCTGGCTGCAGCACGGTCTCTGTGCGTGCTCGAGGAGGGCTGAACCTGTGGCCTGGAAGGTGCTGTGGACTTTAGTTTGGGGAATTGCTGGGAACTCATCTTTTCAAATTGAGGACCTCTAATGTTGGAAGCCCTTTTGAATTGAGATAAGTGTATTTATGCCGTATTTCATTCTTTGGAGAAACAGGAAGGTTTAGGGGGAAAGTAGTTGATGTGTTTTGGCTTAAAAACAAAGGATTATTTTTCACCCTCTTGTTTGAACGATGGAAACATGGATTGGGGCAAAGTTGAATGGTCTTTAGGATCTCACCAGCCCTGTCTCCATCTGTTATGTAACTACATTTGGCAGTGTTTATTAGGGTTGTTATTACGCCCTAGGAGTGGTATTGGGAAGAACTTGGGTGATCTTGGACAGGCCCAGGCTTACCTTCTGCTTCTTGTGCCCCTTGTGTAAGTTTCATTGTATACATGGATAAAGCTGAAAACCTATCTGAATTAGTTGGATAAAGATGAAAAGAAATGTAAAGTGAGGTACTTCCCCTATTTGAGAAGGCATTGACTGCCGTAGAGAACAAGTTCAGTGAAGGTTTGGC